AAAAAAAAAAAAAGATGCCCAGTCTGCAGCTCAGGCGCAGCAAAAAATCTGCTGTGAGTGTCCGATGTGATGCCACCCCATCCCCGGACACAGTTACCACATCAGTTGCCCACCCCAAAAATCACTTACACAAACCCTCTAACCCAAACCAACTGCGGCACAAGAAACAAATGCAAACAATTTAATAGGGCGATGGATATTCGGGCGCTTTGTGCGCGCTGGCTGTTAACACCAGAGGAGACGAGGGATGGAAGCAGTTGAAATGTGTATCTACTTTGGCCGATGGAAAGTGTGACGGATGCGCCGGCAGACCAATGGCTGAGGATGCCGGGGTGTGCGTGGGTGTGAAAGGAATGCTCGCTCGCAAGAAAAGATCAAAAAAAAAAAAAAAAAAAAAAAAAAGAGAGAAGAAGGAGCCTTATCAACAGCGTTTGAGCCCAAAGTGTGTGTCTTCCTTGGAGAAAGGGTTTTCTCGATCCCCGGGGATGATGTTTTCCCCCTGGCGTGAGGCTTCGAGGCTTCCGAAGCTTCAGTTTTAGGGGGCTGGTGGTGAGGATGGGTTTAACCCCGTGAAGTCGCGGGCAGCGGCCGGAGGCGACTGTCGGCAGCTCATCAAGGGAACTTCCTGGGAAATGCGTTTTATTTTTGCGAAGATGGTTATAAAGCAAAAGAGAGGGAAAAAAATGAGGTCCCATCTCAACACTGAGCGCCGTATCCTAGCTAGGACCGGCGCCACTGCGGTGCTGGTGGTGGTTGCCGATGTCCCCATGCCGCACCGCTGAGTGGAAAGATGCTGGTCCAGGGCTGAGCAGGAGGATGGGAGTGGGGGGCTCTTCTCCGACCGCTCGCTTCTCCCTCTGCCCCGGACCCCTGGGGCTCAGGGGGGGGCTCCGTGCACCCAGCCCAGGGCTCAGCTCACTCTTGGGGGGGCTACGGGGTATTTCCATGAGGCTCTGAAAGGCAAACGCCCCATCGGCCGGGCAACCTGCGGAGGGAGAGGGCTGGCCACATGCCGGCAGGTACGGGAGGGAGCGCAGGGCAACTCCTCGCCCGGCGATGGAAGGGCCGGAGCTGTTTGGTTCCCAAGTGAGAGCATCGCCTCAGCCTCGGGGGCTCTCGCTCCGCGCTTTGAAGTGGTGATACATTCATTAATTAAAGAAGCGATCGTGACGAGGTGTTTTTCTCTCCCCTTCCCCTCCCCGTGTACGTATTTTGGTGCCATATTTTAGAGGGAAAGGCAGACTCGTGGCCGGTAAGATGGGCTGTGGGTTTCCAGGATGGGCTCTTTCTCGGCGCGGCGAGCATCAGGCGGTAAATGGGAAAGCCAATATTTTTCAACTGCTTTTAAAAAGGAATCATTTTTTAATTAGTGAATCCATTCTGGAGAAGTGTTGGAGTTTTACAGTGTTGTAGCTGTTCTTGGTGTCTTGCCTAGACTTGGATGTTCTGGCCATAAGAAAATATTATTTATGGCGTTGCTGCTTGCAGCTCTTTTATATTATAATTTGGGAAAGGAAGTTGCTGTTCCCACCAGTGGACGAAGAATAGCAGAAATGAGGATTACGGACTTCTGAAGGAGGAAAAAAAAAACCAAAAACCAAAAAATCAAAATGAAGAGACAGGACAGAAACAAACCACCGAGCAGGCCTTGAATCACCGTGCTCCAGAACGAGCTCATCCCGGCATCGCCGGCGGTTGGGTCGGATGCCGTAACCGAGCCGAAGCCCGATCGCGGCAGGACCGGCGTAGCGGTGACCCCCTCGGTACTCCCCTGGGCGGCGTTACATGTGTTCCTAAACATTTGCAGATCAGGCTTTTATTCATGGGCTAATGCACGCTTGTTTGCTCATGCCTTACTCAGCCTAAACTCCTATTGAACTCAATTAAGCCTGTCATCTCCAGGAGCAGTCAATGTCATTTTTGCCCAAGTAAGGGATGAGTAACGAGTGTTTCGAACGGCCCTTGGAGAATAGCAGCCATTTTGTTGCAGTTTTTGGTCCAGATTTCTTACAAGTTAGCACCAGGCCAAGGGTGGAAGAATGCGATACGGTTTTATTAATCACACACGATTGCTGAATGCGCTGGATGCTTCGGAGACTGTCGCTTTACGGGCTGCGGCGTTGGCTGTCTTGTCCCGAAATGCTTGAATACAACCGAGCTCGGCACGAAAATGAGAAAAATATGTTTCTAGAAGGGATGGGATGCAAAGAGCATCCCTTCTCCAAGCGGGGCGGCGGGAGGATTCCTCTCCCCCATTTACCTTTGTGGGTTTCGGGTGCCACAGCACAGGTCTTCGGTGCATGCCGGACCCCACGGCCGGTGGGGCCGGGGTTTTTGCCACGTGTTGCCCGTCTCAGGGCAGCGGTTCCCGACAGTCGGGCTGGGTTGCGGCCAGATGTTCGCATGCGATCAGCCGGCCGCGGCTTAGCGCGTTACCACCCATCGGCTCGCTCCGAGGAAATGACCACGGCCCGGCTCCTGGCTGGGTTCCCTTGGGAAATCACAACGGCGTGGGCTGAGATCCCCGTCCTGGGTACCAGGCGGTGGGGTGGGGGGGTCTGGGAGAGACTGGGAATCTGCACGCTGGTGGGGTGCAAGGGGGCTGAGGCTGTGTGTGGGGGACATAAGGAGGGGGATGAAGGTGTTTGGAGGGGGCTGAGGGTGTGGGGGGAATCGGGGCTTCGCTGGGAGCCGGGGAACCCTTTGGGCGCTGGGGGAATGAGAGTGTGTGTGGGGATGAGGAGAGGGATGAAGGTGCTTGGAGGGGGATGAGGGTCTGAGGATGAGGAGGGGGATGAATGTGTTCGGAGGGGAATGACAGTGGGGGGGGATGAGGAGGGGATGAAGGTGTTTGGAGGGGAATGAGAGTCTGAGGATGAGGATGAGGAGGGGATGAAGGTGTTTGGAGGGGGCTGAGGGTGTGAGGATGAGGATGAGGAGGGGATGAAGGTGTTTGGAGGGGAATGAGAGTCTGAGGATGAGGATGAGGAGGGGATGAAGGTGTTTGGAGGGGGCTGAGGATGTGCAGAGGACGACAAAAGGTGTGCAGAAGGGGATGAAGGTGAGCGCAGGGCTGAAGGTTAGTGCAGGGGGGTGAGGATGTGCAGAGGGGGATGAAGGTGAGCAGAAGGCGATGAAGATGTGCAGAGGGGGATGAAGGTGTGCCCGGGGGATCCTGGCTGGCTGGTGCCGGCACGGAACAGCAGCACCCTCATACCCCGGCCGGGGGGCTGCATCCCGGGGCTGCGGGCCGAAGAAGGAGGAGGAAGAGGAGGAGGGTGAGGAAGGCTCCTAGAGGGCGCTCCCAGAGTCCCGGGCCGGGTCGAGCCGAGCTCCGGGGCTGCTCTTC